TTAGCTATTGTGAATTGTGCTGCTATGAACATTGATGTAACTGCATCAGCGTCATATGCTGATTTTAAGTCCTTTGGGTATAGACTGAGGAGTGGGATAGCTGGTTCAAATGGTGGCTCCATTCCCAGTTTTCCAAGGAATCTCCATACTGCTTTCCATATTGGCTGCACCAATTTGCAGTCCCACCAGCAATGTAAGACTGTGTGCCTTTTCCCCCTCATCCTCGCCAACACTTATTGTTGTTGGTGTTCTCAATAGCTCCCTTTCTGACTGGATATTAAGAGATGTGCCTGTGGTAAAAATTTGCTTCCATTTTGTAGGATCTCTATTCCTTCACTGACTTGTTTCTTTTGCTGAGAAGACACTTTTTAGTTTGAATCCATCCCATTTATTGATTCTTGATTTTAATTCTTGTGCTTTTATAGCAGTCTTATTAAGGAAGTCGGGGCCTAATCCGACATGATGGAGATTTGGGCCTACTTTATCTTCTAATAGGCGCAGGGTCTCTGGTCTAATTCCTAGGTCCTTAATCCACTTTGAATTGAGTTTTGTGCATGGTGAGATACAGGGGCTTAATTTCATTTTGTTACATATGGATTTCCAGTTTTCCCAGCACCATTTGTTGAAGAGGCTATCTTTTCTCCAATGTATGTTTTTGGCACCTTTGTCTAATACAAGATAACTGTAATTATGTGGTTAGTCTCTGTGTCCTCTAGTCTGTACCACTGGTCTACCAGTCTATTTTGGTGCCAATGCCATGCCATTTTTGTTACTGTTGCTCTGTAGTATAGTTTAAGGTCTACTGTAGTGATGTCGCCTGCTTCACTCTTCTTGCTAAGGATGGCTTTAGCAATTCTAGGTCTCTTATTTGTCCAGATGAGTTTCATAAATGCTTTTTCTATTTCTATGAGGAATGCCATTGGGATCTTGATTAGAATTGCATTCAATCTGTGTACTGCTTTTAGTAGTGTGGTCATTTTGACCATATTAATTCTGCCTATCCAAGAACAAGGGAGATCTTTCCATCTTCTAAGGTCCTCTTTAATTTCGTTCTTTAGCGTTCTATAGTTTTCATGGTAGAGGTCTTCCACCTCTTTCATAAAAATACGGAACACTTCACGAATTTGCTTGTCATCCATGCGCAAGGGCCAATCTAATCCTCTCTGTATCGTTCCAACTTTAGTGTAGGTGCTGCTGAAGCAGGCCCACTCCCACATTCTGGGCTGACGCTAATCTGATCCAAAGCGCACTCTATGGCGATAAAGTTGTTGTTTGCGCATCTTCTCTAGAGTAATTAATTACAGCACCATGTCATTTTCGGTCTCTGTCTTTTCCTGAGCTCAAGTGTAATGACAAATTCACCTTTTCTCCTGAAGGTTAGTCTTGTTGTCTAACTGAAGTGTTTTGCCCTCTGTTTTTCTCTCTGCTGTCTTGGCTCAGAGCAGTCGTTCAAGGGTTAACTCTCATCTACCGGAGAGAAAGAAGGAGCCCTTCTCCTTTGAAGAGCCCTAAGCAGGAAAAGGAACAGTGAGAGTAAATCTGCCTCCACTAGGATGAAAGGCCAGCTGAACCTTTGACTTCGGCATCCACCATGACTAAGAAGACTTTATTCCGAATGTTCCCGATTTCACAGGCTCTATTTTAATTTCTAAAGGGCTCAGCCTGACAGTCTGTATAAGAAACCCTTATAGCTCTTTTGAATCCTATCTGTGGAAGTCATACTTGGAAAAAAGCTATAAAAATCTTTGCTTTCTGCTAATTGCCATGTCTCTGTGTGCACACCTGCGTATTCTAAGTTTTGTCTACTTGTGGGCTTGTGTCTGCATCATGTTCATGGTACCGAAAGTTGGCATATGGATAAAGAGTGTTCACACCATTAAAAATGGACCCAAATACCTTTCAGTTCAAGGGACTTAAAATGGTTAAAGAGATAAAACTTTTTTTTTTAAAGAAAACAAAGGCCTTTAAAATTACAAACACACACAAATTTTTTTCCAGGTGATCGGCCACAAAGGGTGTTATTTTCTATGAAGTGTTTAAAGTGTAATGTGCTTTGCTTCTAGGATTTTTTCCTCCACAGAAAAGGTTGGCTTAAAATGTTCACTAAACTTGGTTTTCATGGGTAACCCAAGTTGAAAATGGGTGGATCAGGTTTAATGTAAATGGGGTAAACATTATAAATGTGTTGTTTTTTTTTAATTGTTGGCCAATGGCCTGTGTAACTCTACATCATGCACAACCAGAAGAATGAGAAGTTATACTCCATTTCTGTATGATGTGTCCAAATGCATTCCACTGTCATGTGTGACTACATAGAACAAATTAAAAAATGCAAATGGTAAAAAAAAAATTGTTGGTCAATGGTAAGAGAGTTTAAGATTGCTTTTTTTTTTTTCTGGGTCTTCATTTACAGCAAGATGATTAAAATTTTATTTTCAGGGCTGGGGTTGTGGCTCGGTGACAGAGCGCTGGCCTTGCATGTGTGAGGCCCTGGGTTCCATCCTCAGCACCACATAAAAACAAACAAAATAAAGAGGGTGTGTCCATGAATGACTAAAAAAGTATTTTTAAAAAATATCCTGTGCTCCAACCTCTTGACTGCAACTTGGGAAAAAAAAGATTAAGGCACAGTTTTTGTATATATTAGACTGTCTAAACCCTCTCTTGGGATAAAATTTGTAATTTGATGTGTGAATAAAATGCACAGATAATATTCATAAGGGTTGATTCAGAATATAAATTTAAGAAACAGTCAGTTCCTCTCCCCTCTCAGCCTTTCCCTCATTTTTTTTTTTTTTTGGACCTTTATCTTTTATTTATTTATATGTGGTGCTGAGGATGGAACCCAGGGCCTCGTCGGTGCTAGGCAAGTGCTCTACCACTGAGCCACATCCCCAGCTCCTAGCCCTTTCTTCTGTGTCTCTGCGCATGTGCGTGTTAGAGACCCAGCACCAGGCCTTCAGCGCATACATCAGGAATATTTTAAAGCAAGAAAAAGCCCCAGTGACAGGACGGATCCACGACGACACCAAATCACCTAAATGTGGTGAGGGACTGTGGATCGGGGCTCAGAATTTGGATTTTGTGTCCCTCTGGGGCTGCCGGCGTGAGAGAAAGTCTGGTGTTTTCTCTTGCTCTCCGAGGCCTGTTGCTGCTTCTCCACCAGTTTCTGCAGCACCTTTACAGAGTACCCACATGCAGGCCCCCCGCGCGCTGATGTCCCTGGGCCCTGACGCTAGACCTCTCCTGGCCCTGTGAGCCCTCGTGGTCTATTTCTTTGTTCCCTTCTCAGAGGCCACACATCCCCAGGGAGGTTTGGGGGAGCACTGGCCTTTACTAAAATTGTCCTTGGGGAGTGAACATTGTCACGGAGCTGAAGAACAGGCCTCCAAAGCTGTCCCTGTCCTTTTACCCACTACATGAGCTTATACACCTTTCTTTATTCAGGGAAGAAAATTTTGAAGCTCACCAAGTTAATTTTTTTTATTTTTATTTATTTTAATTTTGAGACAGGCTTCTGTAAGTGGCTTAGGACCTCGCTAAGCTTCTGAGACTGGCTTAGAACTTGCGATCCTCCTGCCTCAGCCTCCTGAGTCCATGGGCGCCGCTGTGCACCGCTGTGCCTGGTCCAAGTTAAGAATTTTGAGGAGGAAAGATCCTGCTGAATTGCCAGGGGGCAGTCTCGGGGATCTCATGGGGAGAAGAAGGAGCACACACACAGGAGACACTGGGAGCACACAGCAGAGAGCCCTGAGGGGGGAGGGCAGGGACCACCGCCAAGGAACACGGGGACCCCAGGGCCAGCGGGCGAGAAAGCAGTGGTGCCCCTGGATCCCCGGGAGTGGGCCCTCCCGCCAGCTGCACTGGATTGGGGCCCCTGGATGCTGAACTAGGATTTGTGGCCCCAGGACGTCAGGGACAGCCCAGCACCGTGTAAGCCAACACACGTGGAGGAGCCAGGAATGAAGGTGGCGGTCTGCTTGGCGTCACTGTCATCTGAGGTCCTTGCCAGATCACCCAGCGGGGGACACCTCCAGTTCTGACCAGGGGGACGTGGCTGCTCCTGCAGGCCCAGGGGGCTCTGGGAGAGGAGGTTGTCACTGCATTGTCCCCATGTCCCCAAGGCAGTTCTCCAGGTCCCTGAGGGGCAAGGGCCCTTCCTGGGGCTCCCCGCTCTGAAGATGGTCTCCCGTGTCCTCTCCTCCAGGACCAGCACGGACCTGGGGTCCCCTGACGCGGTGGTGCTACCTCTCCTGAGCCTCTCAGTGTCTCTGAGAATCGGCGTCTCGGCCAGAGCCATCGGGTCCCAGGGTCCTGGCTCAGTTTCCACGGCCAGCCCAGCAGCCAGTGACCCCGTTCCTGAGGCCCGGGGCCAAGTCCACTGGGACCTCTTTGGGGAGGAAGCCGAGGCCTGGCTCCTGGGAGCGCTGAGGGGCGGCTGCAGGCAGAGCTCTGAGGAGGGGGTTTCAGGGGACGCCTTGCAGGGACATGAGGGCCACAGCAGAGGGTCCAAGGTCCCTCCAAGTGCAGCCGGGTCCTTTCCCCCAACTGCGGAGCTCTGCACTGGGCGTCCCCAGCTGTCCCACCTGCAGCCGTTTCAGGGGCTCTAGTCCCTTGGTGGCAGCTGACACTGGCCATGGGCTGTCCACTCGGAAGGGACTAGATTGAGGCGAGGCACTTGCCTGTGGCTCCCTGTCCTTCCCTTTCCCCAGAAAGAGTGTCCCCAGGAGCCCCGAGCAGCGGGTGCTAGACATGGGGCCGTGGTGGGGTCCCGCGGAGGGGACCTGTGGAGCAGCAGGTGGCCCGTGTGGCCTTCCCTGTGCTGTCCCTCCCCAGGCCTGGGGTGACCCTATTCACATAATCCCAGGGTCACATGCTCTTGTACCATTAGCTACATAAGCATCTCCCCTTCTCTTCTCAGGAAGGTCAACTGAGGTGTCCAAGCCAACAAGAGCCCGGCTGCAGACCCGCTGCCCCGGCCCAGGCCCAGGGCCGCCCTGCTGGGTGGGGACTGCCAGCCAGGCCAGACACAGAGGCACCAGGACATGGACAGATGGCAGGAGGGGGTCCCTGCACCCTCCACCTGGACGGGAGGTCCGAGAGGGACACGAGGAATATAAAATATATATATTTAGTTGTAGTTGGTCTCAATACCTTTATTTTAATCACTTATGTGGTGCTGAGGATGCAGCCCGGGGCCTTGCATGTGCCAGGCAAGCACTTTACCACCGAGCCCCAGCCCCAGCCCCTGAGTCTCGAGAATAACTGCTATTTGTTACAGTGGTCATTGTGAACTGATACGGCTCATCATTAAAGAGACCAGGACCTGTTCCAGTTAATTTTTTATGAAAAGGGACTTACTAGAGGATATTAAATGGTTTACAGAAGTGTCAGGAAAGTAAATGGAATAGATCCTCTATTGACAGCTCAGGTGGCACTTCAAGAACCAAACCACAGAACTGGACCCCCAGAGACCATTTTCCTTCCAAGGTCAGAATGCTGACTGCTTAAGCAGGAATCGGCCTCCACCAACACGACCAGGAGGGCAGCACGACCAGGAGGGCAGCGCGACCAGGAACGACACTGTGAGCAACAACCGTCCTCAGGAGACTGCTGGGATCCAGGTCACCACAGCAAGCAGACCTGCCCCTCACACCGTAGCCGACAGACACGTGGCCGCCGCCAGGCACTGGCCAAATCTTGTGTCCGCGCATCTGATGGGAGGAATCCAGACAGGAGACAGAGCCTGCCGGGTGGAAGCCTAAGAATAGGATTCTCGGTTTCCCAGTCCCTGTTGACAGGAAAATGTAAGTAATAAGGTTCTTGAAAACACAAAATGAGTCAGTACACATACAAATACAAGTTCTCAGCACAGGATCAGTGTTCAAGAAGCCTTAGCTCCTATCTGCACCATCGATGCCTGTCCAGGGTCCTGAATCTTCATTTCCCTCTAGAGCTTAATGATTTCTCCAAATGCTGTGAGGCTAGGGTCTCCTGGCTGGGGCTTCTTGGGAATTCTTAACCCACAGTGAGAAGAGGCAACGGTATCACGAAGGGAACAGAGTCAGCCCCATAAATAGCCTCGGGCTATGGGGAAACTAGCTACCAAAAGATTTCAAGGAAAATGCAAGAAAAACTTATTTTGACATGGTTGTCGAAGAGCACCTTAGTGCTGAAAGGTTTTCCATCTTAATGGAAAATCT